AAGAGCGTTGCATGTGCAATTAGGTCCTTGGTCCATTCTGTTAACAACAAAAGCAAATCTTAGAGTTAAAACTGGATTTTTACCTGTTGTTGGGAAGGGAATATCCTAACATCTTCAATATATTGAGAAAAGGGGTTGAACTCTGAACAGTGGAACTAAAACTCAGGATAAAACGTTAAAGATTAACTTTGGGCGTAGCTTGGTCTGAAGATCACATTTTCTTCATCATAAGATTAATGCTTTGTTTTAAAGTTACATTGGGAATAAAAAGCACATGGGCCTTCAGAACTGGAATACCCTGTTTAGAGAAAATAGCATTAAGAGTGAGTCATATTTCTTTTGGAAAATGTCTTCTCTATGCTGGTTTGGTGTGATCAAGAAGGCAGAGCTCAAGCCTCAGTATCTGTGGCTTGTCACTGTGAGACATGCTGTTGGAAAACCCAATGCTACATAAGGCCAAGAAAAATATGTCTGTTAGGAGTTAAAAGTTTCTATCTGACAGGTGAAATCATAGGTCTCACAGGTAATCACAGAATGGTTAGGGAATGGTTCCTTCTCTAGATGGAAGGGGCCTCTAGAGATCATCTAATCCAACCCTCCTGCTCCAGCAGGGACACCCAGAGCACGGGGCACAGGGTCGCATCCAGGCGGGTTTGAAGATCTCCAAAGAAGGGGACGCCACAACCTCCCTGGGTAGCCTGTTCCAAGGCTCTGTCACCCTCACAGTAAAGAAGTTCTTCCTCACATGAAGCTGGCACTTCCTGTTTTTAATTTGTGCTGTCACTGGCCACCACAGACAAGAGTTTGGCCCCATGCTCTTTGCATTTTTTTATACAGGTATTTATACATAGTCATAGGATCTCATCCCAAATTTCTCTTCCCTTGGCTAAACAGGCCCAGCTTGTTTAGTCTTTCCTTATACAATAGATGACCCAACCCCTTGATTATCATTGTTGCTCTATGCTGAAGCCTCTCTAGAAGATCCACATCCTTCTTATATTGGGAGCCCAGAACGGCACACAATACTCCAGGTGCGCCCTACTCACCAGAGCTGAGTAGAGCAGCAGGATCACCTCCCTCAAACTGCTGGCAACACTCCTCCTGATGCAGCCAGGATCCCATTGGCCATCTTGGCCATGAGGGCACGTTGCTGCCTCATGGTTAACTTGTTGTCAACCAGGACACCCAAATCCCTCTCCAGGGAGAGGTCATCCTGTTCCTCTCCATTTGGTCATCCTAAACGCCTCTCCAGCAGCAGGTCACCTTCTGCTCTCCTTTCCAGCAAGTCAAACTCTAATATGTACTGGTGCCTATGGTTATTCCTCCCAAGGTGCAGGACCCTGCATTTGCCCTTGTTGAACATCATGAGGTTCTTCACTGTTCAACTCTCCCATAATATCCAGGGATAACACTCCCTAGAGGGGAGTGATATGCATAACACATCAAAAGGCATCAGCTAAATATCTGCAAAGAGCATGGGGAGACCTACAGAGAAGCAGTTATTTTTCAGAGGAACTTTAAAGTGTGGGTGTCTAATGCAGTCTGAGCAGGACCAGGTTTTGCCTCCTACCTTAATAAGTATGCACAGGGCAAATTGTCTTTTCATATTTCACTTTCCATTTATTGAAGAGAGACATGGAGTCCAAACACCACGGAAAAGTGAGAACAAGAAGATAGTTACAGAGACTGAGTGCAATCCTGTTGTCCACATTTATAGCTCTTGATGGCTCCTCTTGGGAGGGCAAGGGGTGCATTGCACTGCAAGGTCATGCACAGCTCTACTTTGCAGCGTTACGGAATCCCTCAGTCCAAACTTGTCTCATACCACCAGGATTTGACTGGAATCCACTGATCACATTATTCAGGTTCCCTTGGGTGCAGCGCAGTAGACCTGCTCTTTGACTTGTCCAACACAGTGGGGCTACTGGCCAGAAGAATGTAAGGAGCATTCCAATGATGCTGCCACAGGAGAAGAGGACAACAGACAGACTTAAAGAATCAGCATGTCTTATGACTCCTCCTCCACATCAGCATAGGCATCTCAGTGGGACAAGCTCGTCTACCATCACTACTCACATCACCTTTTCCATGTGAAGGAGGAGATCCCA